AACTGGGCACTAATCTCTTTTTGATGGGAAAAAGAAATAAAGGCAGCTGTGATCTACAGGGAAATGATAGTGCAGATACTTCTTCTGAGAAGGGCCTCCCAGAGGTGGTCTATAAGCAATGGTCAGGTGCATCAGAAAAAAACCAATAAGCTAAAACTGCCCGATGGGAGAGGGGCAGCTGTTACATGTGAGGGGCACGTGAGCACCTGTGAGGTTATGACTCAGTCAACATGGCAAATCCTATTGGTTGTCTGTCCAACAATCCTCCCCCACCTTCTTTGCTACCAGAACCCCAATTCTGTTGAGCTAGCAATTACCCCTGGGCTTGAGGGAAGGGGAGCCCTATGGACTAAGTTACCAGGTTCTGATCTTGTTCTTCTGCCTTTTTGATCCAACATATCTGTTTTCACTTTTTGTGAAAATCCGAAGACACTAATTCTACCTTGGCTGCTATGCCTAGTGTGCTATTCTCTAGTCCCTTCTCAGTGCTCTGATGTCATCTAAAAGGGAAATATTCAAGGTCTATGCCCTGAGGCACTTCCGCTATCTCTCCCCAGGCAAGCCAAGACAGCCCAATTGCAGGCAAATTTCTTCTTTAAGTTGGATATTAAATAAATGGCTAAGAGATCTTGATAAAGCCATGCAGACAATGTGTTCTTAAAATTATTCAGATATGCAAACTGTATGACTCCATTTATGTAAAATTCTAAGAAATGCAAAGTAATGTGCAGGACAGAAAGCATACGACAGAAAGCTGGTTGGGGACAGGGTGGAGGGACTAAAAAGGGGCATGGGAGAAACTCTTCAGGGTGATACGTTCATTATCTTGATTGTGGTGGTGGTTTCATGTGCAAAAACATATCATAGTACACACTTCAAATAGGTATAATTTATTCTATGTCAATTATGCCTCACAAAAGCTCTTAAACTGTTAAATATTTTTTAGACACAGAAAATTTACTCTTAATATATTATTTGGAGGAGAAAAGGTACAGAAGAATATGCAGAGTATGGTTTTATTTAAAAAATATACTTGTGGGAAATGCCTAAGAAAGTACACTGACCTGTTAACAGTGCTTGGCCCTGCAAGATAGATTTAAGTGATACTTTATTTTTAGTGATTTATTATTCAATTTCACAAGTATCTACTGAGCACATACTGTGTGCTAGATATAGTAGCGGCAGGGCTCGGGAATATACTAGGGAAAATCTGCACAATCTCCTGATCTGCCAGTTTATATTCTTGAGCAAACAAGAATGTCAAATAATGACAGTTAAAAGCGGGGCGGGGGGGAAGCGGGGGAGAACCAGGGTGATGTTTTGTATATGGCTGTTGTGCTAAATGAGGAAGGTCTTTCTAAAATGGCAACATTTAAACTGAGAACATGATGACCACAAGGAGCCCTCCAGGAAAAACATCTAGAAGAGAATTGTATAGGCCATCGTGAGGAGGTAGGAGTTTATTCCAGGTGCAATGGGAAGTTAACAGAACCCTCTATAAAGGGTGGAGAGACTTGACATTTCAAAAAGCCCACTTCGGCTATGATTTGGATGATGAGGCTACAAGAGAAAGGCATTGGAGAGGGAGGAGACTATAGCAGTGCTGCAAGTGGGAGAGGGTGCTGGCTGGAGCCGGTGGGTGGCGTGTGATGGAGAAGGGGGGATGAGGGGGCGCCTGGGTGGCTCAGTTGTTGGGCGTCTGCCTTCGGCTCAGGTCATGATCCCAGGGTCCTGGGATCGAGTCCCGCATCGGGCTCCGTGCTCTGCGGGAAGCCTGCTTCTCCCTCTCCCACTCCCCCTGCTTGTGTTCCCTCTCTCGTTGTGTCTCTGTCAAATAAATAAAATCTTAAAAAAAAAAAAAAAAGAGGGAATGAGGGGACAGATATGGGCACCGTTTCGGTGAAAGCTTGTGGGACTTACTGGTGGATTTTACTGTATATGCATTTCTGTGTTTTTTTTTTTTCCTTCAGTGAGAAGATACTTATTTTGTTGTCAGAAATATTTAAGCTAAAAGGGCTTTATTTACTATTTATTTTTTGGAAGGAAAATACTTTTTTTTTTTAAAGATTTTATTTATTTGACAGAAAGACAGAGAGAGACAGCAAGAGAGGGAACATAAGCAGGGGGAGTGGGAGAGGGAGAAGCAGCTTCCCACCGAGCAGGGACACGGGGCTCAATCCCAGAGCCCTGGGATCATGACCTGAGCCAAAGGCAGACGCTTAACCGACTGAGCCACCGAGGTGCCCTGAAGGAAAATACTTTCTTAAGAAGAATGAAAAACCGTGAATTCTGACACTTTATTTTCCTTAAATGGTGATGTGAAAACACTGCATTTAACTCACTGATTTTTCAAGATTAAAACAAGCTTTTCTTAAAATTTATTTGAGAGAGAGCATGCAAGTGCATGAGTTGGGGAACAGGCAGAGGGAGAAGCAGACTCCCTAGCTTAGCAGGGAGCCCAACGCAGGGCTCAATCCCAGGACCCGGGGACCATGACCTGAGTGGAAGGCAGACACTTAACCGACTGAGCCACCCAGGTGCCCCTCTCAATTCCTCTAAAATTTTTTTTCCATTTTTTAAAATTTAAAAATGTGTATTTATCTACCCATTTATTTATTTCAATTTCTTTAAGGGCTCTACACCAAGGAAACTTCTCTCAGCTATTCTACCCATGACCTTAAAATCTACTCTTGTACCACATGCAGTTTAGCCAGATCATCTATATATTTATAGAAATATCACTAATATAGGTTGGAAGCTTGGCAAACTACAATCTTCAGCCTATTTCTTTGGTGGCCCTCAAGATAAGAACATTTTTTTACATTTCTAAGGAGTTGTAGAAAAAGAAAACAAGTCTAAAATATTTGCTATTTGGCCCTTTACAAAAAAAAGGGAGGGGGCAACACCAGTAGAAGGAAATTATCAGTCCAAACTTGTGAGTTAAATAAGTTTAATACAGAATAGGAAGATGTAGTACACACACACACACACACACCAAACACACACCCACACCACACAGACACCCACACCACACCCCCCCCACACACACCCCACACCACACAATGGAATATTATGCAGCCATAAAAAGAATGGGATCTCGTGCCATTTGCAACAACGTGGATGGACTTAGAGGATATTATGTGAAGTGAACTAAGTCAGATGAGAAAGCCACATACCATATGATTTCACTCACAAGTGGAATGTGAAAAAACAAATGAATAAACAAACTAACAAAAAGCCGAATTGGACCTCTAAGTATAGAGAACAAACTCTGTTTGTCTCAGGGGAGATGTGTTAGGGATGGGGAGGTGAGTGAAGGGGAGAGGGAGGTAAAGGCTTCTAGTTCTAGAACGAATAAATCACAGGAATAAAAGGCAGAGCAGAAGTAATACAGCCAATGATATTATCATAATGTTGCATGGTGACAAATAGTAGCTACACTTGTGGTGAGCATAGCATAATGTATCAACTTGTTTAATCACTATGTTGTACACCTGAAACTAATATAACACTGTGTCAACAATATTCAAAAAAATAAAGCTTAATACAGATAAGATTAATCTAAAGTACAACTAATAACTCAAAAGATAATTTAACTAACCAACTTGCCAGGTTGGGAGAAATATAGAATGCAGCAATGCTTATAAGAGTGATTTCTTAAATGCTTGAAATTGACGGTCTCCATTCTGTTCAACACAGAATCATCACTTGACTCTTATTATAGTTTTATCCCATGATTCCTTCTAGGATATGATTTCTTCAAGACGATGGATATATTTACCGTACTCTTGATACTTTCCTGCCTAACCCAGTGTGTGATGAGTTCCAGTTAAATTTTATAATCACTAATAGGGTGGCTGATTTGCTCTTTTTGATAATTTTAACATCATGGCTCCCTCCCTGTTACTAGGCACAGAAGGAAGTAAAGGTATTGGCAATTCAGCAGTTGCGCCCAGTTTAATATAATTCAGTAGTTTAGATAGCATTCAGAAAAAATTACCCACTGCATCGAGTTGCTGAATTTCATTAATTATGCTCATCAATGCACACTTATGCAAATAAAGCTTTGGGGACCTTTCACATTACTTTTTGCTTGCATGTGGACATGAACCAATCCCAGAAGAGCAAATGCATTAATAATCCTTTTCAACCAGCAAATCTCACCACTCCACCAACAAACAAAAGACTGAACAAAGCCAAAGAAACAACTGAAAAAAAACACTCAAAATCAAAAATTAATTTTGATAATATTGGTTAATAAAAGCGAAATATCTAGAAATCACTTCTATCATGACAAAAACAAAGAATGAGGGTAGAAGGTTAGGTAGTGGACTCTGGTTAACAGAAAAGCTTTAGAACTGGATTTCCTGCATTGAAGTTCTTGCTCTACTACTTCGTAAGTATGTGGCTCTGAACATAGCACTTCTCTAAGGCTCCATTCTTTAATGTGTAAAATTGAGGCAACAATAATTGCCAACCCTGGGGACCCATGTGTGGATTAAATTAGGTAATAATAACGCACACAAAGCAACAAAGTGCATGGAACAGAGCACATACAGAGGAGTGATTATTTAAATACCATTTCAGTGCAGAGTTGTTGATAATTGAAGTGATTCTAACCAACCTTGGCTACACTGTCCAAATTCTTAATGAAAAACAAAATTCTAATTCTTTCGTTCCGTGCTTCCAAAGACAGCATTTAGAGCACTTGACAATTAAAAAAGATAGCAATACTTTCTTGGATTTGTATAGTACTCAAAGCACTTCCACATTTACTTTCTGGGCATATTTGCAGCATAATCTAGAACAGTTCATTAACAGAGGTTATTACTCCCTTTGGCAGGAGTAAAGGCTCAGAGAGGTCATCATGGTTCCGTACAGTATCACAGCAGGGATTATGCTCAAGACTTCAGATTTGATCATATCTTACTACCTGTATTACCATTCCCTCCCACGATGCTCTATACTCAGCTGATGGCTGATGATAAATTTCCCCAGATTTAGATTCCTGAGAAATCACCACTCCTTTTTCTCATGGCAGTACTTACTGGTCGGGACTGGATTTCTTTGGCGTAGAGAGGTTGCAAGAATTCTGAGTCTCCTTCTAGTTTTAGACCTTTGTCTGTGATTCTCAAATTCCCCATTCCATCCTGAAATAAAAGCACAAAGATAACACAGAAAATGCAATTAGCCAATATTTCAAAAAAACCTCAGGCTTTCAAAAATTGAAACAAACTTATTGCCTTTTTTTTTTTTTTGAGATATGGAATGAGAGGGGGTCCGATAAAATACTGGGAAGTACTGTTCAATGCAATTATGCATATTACCCTTTTTGCTCACTTATTCTGAGAAAATTCTATTCCAAGCAACCTGTAATGCCTCCTAGTCATTCCCTGGCACAGATGAAGAGGGCCCTTTTGCTAGGTATTGCAGAAAGAATGGAAGCAGGAAGTAAGTGGGAAAATGATAAAAGGATAATTCCCCAGGTTAAAGTACATGGTCCAGTTTCCAAAACTTTGTGCAAAAATTGCAAAGTGGCAGTCTCTTGGTCGAATCCAGTTTTTGGACACAGTGTGTTTTGCTCACAAAATATTCAAGAGGTCACATTAGTTGCTGACATTTTTACTGATATTCTATTATGGAAATATTAAAATATATACAAAAATAGAAAGGATAAATAGCAAACACCTGTGTACTATCATTCGTCGTCACCAATGATCCATTTATGGCTATTGTTATCTGCTATACCCACCACACCCACCTCATTTGGTGAAATATTTAAAACAGAATACACCATGAATTCCCATTAGACTTCCTTTTTTAAAAAGGCTTTATTTATTTCTTTGAGAGAGGGAGAGCACAGAGGGAAGTGAGAGGGAGAAGCAGACTCCCCACTGAGCAGAGAGTCCACTGCGGGGTTCAATCCCAGGACCCTGAGATTATGACCTGAGCCAAAGGCAGAGGCTTAACCAACTGAGCCACCCAGGTGCCCCATCCCATTAGACTTCAAATTGAGGACATGAATGTTTTCAATTAATCTCATGGATCTTACAGTGTTACCACCTTTCTTGCATACCAAAAATCTGTTTTCTCAACACCAAAATGATTACTCATTTGATTTAACTCACAATACACAGAGCCACTACTATTCTAACATTATGATTAAGAAAAACAATTTAAAATTTGTCTTAAAAAAGCTTTAGACCTTCAACTCTATGGTCAACTAATCTTCGACAAAGCAGGAAAGAATGTCCAATGGAAAAAAGACAGTCTCTTCAACAGATGGTGTTGGGAAAATTGGACAGCCACATGCAGAAGAATGAAACTGGACCATTTCCTTACACCACACACAAAAATAGACTCCAAATGGTTGAA